CCCGTTTGTTCAGGTCACTAGGCCACGGGAATCAAACAACGACGCTGTTAGAAACTTCGAGACGTGATGCAATATAGATATATGAATCATCCTTCGTGGTACTTAGCTCCTCTTCTCCTCCATCTTTTGAACACCTGCTACCTCGTGGATTGCTCGCACCTACAGAGTTCATAAAGCACACTTCACTTACCTCACCATTTAACTAGACTCCGCAACAATCAATTCAATCCGGTCACTCTCCTAGACCCACTTACCTATCTAGGTAGGGCTTAAACTCCTATAGGTAACTACTAGGCTTAAAGCGGTAATCAATCAATCCAATCTGAACCTTCTAGGACCCACTTAATTGATTGTTGCGGACTGTGCATTTAACTCCCGCTCTTCATCCGCTCCAGCCGCATTCTATGCCTTACACAGCCTCTCTGCGGACTACAGTACGTTTAATTATCTTAATTTCTCTCACGCTATATTCATACAGTACTAATACTCGCGCTAGCTAGCTCGATCGTACGTCTACACCTAGAACCCAAAAACACACACTCGAGAATGTGCCAGATAGCGGGAGTCCGCTTTAAAATTCCAACTCAATCACTTCTACATCTTCTGTTTTTTATCCTCTAACATTGCATTAGTAACCTCATCGCTTTAACTCGCGGCACGACCGTTACACTATCAACAATAGCTCGGGGAAAGGCACATAATCGTGGGATAAGTGCGAAGACTTCCTACATGTTTCCGTCGCTTCATCAAGATGTTGTGAGTGCAGTCTCTAATGAGATTGCCTCACCACACTTTCACATGAATGATAGCGACAACGGTGTCCGTAGCACACACTCAACTCACATTATGGGCAAGTTTGTGTGCAACAACAGAACGTGTTCCAATAGTGGCTAGGCTAGTAAGAAGGTGGCTATATTGATTAGGGGATACCCAAAGAATGAGTACAACGCTGTAGTATTCAATCAGCGCTGCAGGTCTTGCGAGAAGCTAGGCACCTTGAAAATGGACGAGGAGTTATATGTCGATCGAGTCGCATACAGGCTCAAGAAGTGGGCAGGAGTTCAACTGGAGACACGGTCCTCTGGTCCAAAAAAGGGACTGCCGCACGAGTCCAAGCTCTGTGAGGGCTGCAAGAGAGGTGTTTGTAAACAAGCATATAGCTCGGAGTACTATTAGACGCTGCGAGCTCAGGGCTAAAGGTAAGCTGCACTCTTGTATTATTATTTCCTGATGCACTGGGAAGCTCAGAAATTTGGGTCCTGTTGCCGTTGCAAGGGCGCTGAACAGCAATGCTAACCTAACTGCAGAAGAGAGCTAGTATCAAGCAGGTCAGCATTTAGGTACTGTATCCTTTGGACTTACCGATTAGTTCCAAAAGTAATGCTGCTGCTTTAGGGCTCTTTTTTGTCAGCTATCTAGGATTCTGCTGCCATTCTAGGTTGCTTTAAGGGATAATGTCACTCAGTTTATTGGAAGGCGGTAGTTCAGAATTGTAACGAATGGAAGGAAGATGCATTTAAGTTGACAAAGTATAATAAGAGTTTACAGCTACGATGCAACCCCTACTAATTAATTACTAACTCTATACTGTCTAACTTGACAGCCTCCGTCAGCTCTGTGATGCAGGAAGTGATGCGAGACGCCTTTTTAATGATAGTAGATAGAGATGATAGAGATGAAGGCGTCGACATGGCCGCGATGTTGAGATAGTCTGTTTGGGCTAGGATCTATCTAAGCGAGCTTGTTCCGCCAGGGCCGCAAGACGCCAACTATAGTAAATACATAGCTGCCGGCACTTTTCAGATCGAATTTGGGGCAGTTTATTAAGAATTAGGACTTGTAGTAAGAAACTTACTCTGCTTCTTCTTGCAGACCTAAGACTTTATCTTTGAACTATGGCAGAAAAGTTTCCGGTATCCACACACCCAACAAGTACCGAATAACAGCCAGCAATTAATAACAACCAGTAATAGTCCTTGTGCATCCAATACTAATAGGAAACTTAATAATGTCCACAGATGTCTCCTGATTGACAACCTAGTACAGCCACCACTTATGCCCAAACACAATTAAGCCTGGCAAAGGCGTGCATACCAGTTTCTTTGTAAGTCGTAATGCAGCGACCCGATTCTGCACGCGGCCACCCACATGCCTAGCTTAAACTGCGTCCTCTTCTTCATAGAAACCCTTCTTTGTTTCGATAGATTAACGGCGGGCTTTTATAAGCTT